TTCTGTGATCAGTGAAGGTTGCATTTCGCTTAAATTAATCAAATCAAATAAGATGTTTTGATTTTGCTATCGATCTCAATATCAATACTAAATAAGAGAGAAACACTAGATCACCAGCAATGGCGCTTCCAATAATCATGTATTAGTAACGTTGAACGTAAATAATTTGTTCAAAAATAAATTGGGGCCTATTTTAAATATAAAAAACTTATTCTCGTTCCAATGGAAATTCAAATTGCTGAGGCAATCATATGGTTTGCATTTCTAGTAACACAAATGAATAGAAGTTGTTTCTGGAGACCCCAAACTTTACTGACTTTAAGGTTTTTGTATATAAGTGATATTGTAGAACTGAGTTCGTGAAAGAATATATCCTGTTTGACATAATTCTTTGACAAGTGCACTCGAAAAATGCGAAAATAACGAGAGTTATCTTTTTTTCCTTAAAATGGTATACCTCCTGAGTTTTGTGGGAGTTTTTCAAGAATGGAACAAAGCTAAAATCTTATATGCGTACACAACAATGTTATAATTTCTTGCAAATTGATAGTATCTTAAATTGTAACTTTTCCACTATCACCTTCCATTAAACATTGAAGATAAGCTAAAAGATTAATGGAAATATTTCCTTATTTCGTTATAAGGCGATGTCTCGAACACTCTGCCAGACTCTCAGCTACATTGCATAAAGGAATTATGTCTATATTCGTAACAAATCTCTCAAATTATTTGAGTTCATAATAAGTAATGAACTAATAAACCAATATGTCAAAAATTAAGATGTTGAATATGATGACGAACAGTTTGTTTATTTATTGGCTTTATGATTTTACATGAAAATTCGTAATGATTAAAATTCAATTATTGATGCATGCAAAAATGTCCTTTCCAGTGTGAAGGATAACTTTTCTAGTATCCACGGCTTGAATAATATCAGGCGTAAGATTAACCCCCTCCTCCATAATACGTGATCTCCAGTCGACCGTGTCTACCGGTATTAGGGTCATAAAAATTTCCGATAATTGGCCCTTGGTTACCAAGTCCACCGCCATCTTGTTGACTAAATGGGTTGTGACCATCGGAGTTACTGTCGTAAGTAGATCCTACCCAAGCTGCATTTGTTTGGTCAATAACATTAGTGAGAAGGAAAATGGCAATAAAAACGCAGTTGCAAAGCGCTTTCATTTTAAAATACAGTAGATTAAAAAGTTTAACTATCTACTTTAACGTTGAAAGTTGAATATATACCTACTCTGATGGCACAAACTGGTTTCTGAATGCTTTCTCAATGGCTGTTTCAAAAGAAAAAAAACATAAATGAATGATTAAAATGCAAATCCACCTTCATGATGATAATAAAATTAACCCCAAAATTTCAAAAAAAACAGCTCTAATTTTTTGTAAAAATAATAAAACGACCTCAAAAATCAAGAAGTCCTGCATAATCACCATATTCTGCAAATAATATTATTATGAACTACGTTAAAGCAGAATACATTAATTGATAGAAAATTGGATAATTTGAGCATGCGTTTGCATCAGTGGCAAAGACTCTAACCAATATAAAGATACCTGAAGCAGGAGTTGGCATCGACTATAAATACTAATGCCTAGCACGGATTACATGAACTTGTGCGCTTCTTAAATGAATATATATCCAAAATTTAACTCAAACAAATAAAGGCCCTTTTAACAATCAATAGTCTTGCTGTTTATTTTAATTTAACAATTGTCTTATTGCATGTCGTGATTATGACTATACAATACTATGATAGAAGTAAAATCTTGCCCTTAGGCTACTAAGCTAAATGCGTAATTTGATCATCATTTATTTTTATTGCATTCGGCCAATTTATGCACATCTCTTAATGCAATAAAATGAACGACCTAAAATCTTGATCAAACAGATGGGCCATAGAATATAGCTTCTTTGAAAAGTGAATTTGACACCTCAATACAAATGCATCAAATAGTTGGGCAATATAATGTCATTACTGAGTTGGGTGTAATCGATAATTTTCCCCAAATGGTAAAAAAATCAACAATTATGATGTATTGCTCGATATTAGTTTTTTATTTATCGTTCGTTATTGATTGGCCATTTGCAAACTTTATTCCCACACAGCATTGCATCCATTGGGCTATTTTATCAAACTTTGCCTGACGAAATTAATGTTTTGATAATAAAAAATAGTCAAAGGGTATTAATTAATTTTAGCACAATAGATTCACTCGATAATGAGCCGTTTAAAAACAGTTTTGCTTATCATGAATATATTTGAATTAATAGCGTTCTTCAATTATATCGACAAGAGAATTTTCGAACTCTAGTAAAANAAAATCTGCAAGTGGATTGAAAACTCTCTCAGTCAATCGATGAGTTTAAATTAATTTTACAAAATAGATTAAATTGGTTAAAAGTCAATTTCATAGTTCAACCTACTATAAACAGTTCCAAAGATGAAACTGATTATTCTTTGAATTTCGGAAGTCTGTTTGGTAAATAATGGTTTGCCTAAAGTTGAGTTTACATCATTGAAACTCCAAGATAAAATTTATTGTCGAGAATATTATAAGGATGATTAAAAATCCTATTTGTATACCATCCATACTTTATTGATTGGAGAGTGAGGACAGCAATGCGTCTACATAGCTTATTTGCAGTTTAAATTGCAGTCAACTAATAATTTTCAGCAAATGATCCATTCTTCCCGTATATTGACAATTTCAATTTGTTTTATTTGATTAAACCATATTTTATGCTACGCTGACAGATTGAAGTTAGATATGAAACGCGTCAAACGGGGTATTGAAAGACGGATATACACAATCATCTGTTTTGATTTATTGCGAGACATTTTGACAACAAAATCTGGTTCAATATAAAAGGTTGAAAAGATTGGTGCTTGGGAACCATTTAGCATAATTTAGCAAATTTTCAGGATAAGTAAATTTTACATTTAATCAGAATGCGATGTTATTGAGCCCAAAACTTAGTTGATTAAAATGCTAAAATCTCGTGAACGAAACAATATCCGACTTATTTCAAAGGGCAAAGAAGTTTACATATGGTTTCGACACCTTGCAACANGGTCAACCAAAACTGAGGCAGTTTTCATGAAAAAAATAAGATAAAAACAAAAAAGTAATTTTAGGATAATTAAAAAAATGTTTTCGAAATGATCGATTTTACTAATTGTGAAAATGTTAGTTATATTGATGCGAATGATAAATTTATGAGCATTTGTCAAATCTGTTTAATTTCACAATCTCAAACTTCTGCAAATAGGTGGGCCTCTGTCTATAACAATTTTGCTTTCTCTATTGACTTAAACACTAATGACAGTTTTAAATAAAACAATTGGAAATGCTCAATTGAGTGAATAATTGCCGCATAATCCACGAATAATTTTCTTCAATAGATAATATTTTCTTTATTGTGAAAAGCTTTAAAGAGTACATCAAACCTTCCACCATCTCAACTATAATTTATGCACAATTTCTTTTCGATTTTCCAAAACAAGTTTGGTTTCCGGTGTATTAGGTTTAATGCAAAATCGTACATTTACAGGCCTAATTGAGATGGGTTGATATGACACCAAGTAAGGAATATTGCTCTCAGAGGATTTGAAAAACACTGACTCTCGCTTTTAATTAGTCATCTGTGCAGCAGATTTTGCAAACTTTTCCTGATTCACATAAGCTGCCTCAACAGCTTAAAGGTGCCGATTTATTGCATGAAATACGTTTAGTTAAACTCGATTGGTGGGCCATATTTTTTTACTTTCGTCTCTGGTCACTTTCAAATTGAATGCGGTAAACGCCAAATAAATTTGTGAGTTATCTTTTTTATCTATATCTATCAATTCTATATCAATTTATTCTATATATATATATATATATATATATATATTCACTTAGTCAAAATTGTTTACAGTTAAATTTATTCGTACGCCTCTGGTTAGTTGAAATGACCATAACAGTATTTTCCACAGAAATTATTATTTGTTATAAGAATATTAATATCAATTTTCCTTCTCTTAGAAATACGAGTATGCTGATGATAATACATATCACACTTTGTCAATTCGTGTCTTCTCATATTAATCAACATCTCGCATTTTCAAATGTCATGTTTTCAAAATTGGCAAAAACTTATTTAAAATTTTCTTTTAACACCTGCTCCTTTATTAATAAATTCCAATTGATTGTAAAGATAGGTTTTTCTCAAGATTGCCTTAAAGACTATTTAATGTGAGAATTATCGTTTGCCATACATTAAATGTGAGGGTTGTAACCTTGTCTAATATCTTCATAAAACTCATTTCGTTTGCAGCATTATTATCACCAAAGTTGTAGCATAATGACTTGTTAAAACACCACCTGATAACATTGCTTCTTAATTCGAACAATATTATTCACCAAGTAATAAATCAGCGTTAGAGGTCATATTAGTGTTCTAGCATTATAATGATTTGATCAAGGGTGTTTTGATTTTGGGTGCCTTATAACTGAAGGAACCCAATGCAAATTGGCAGTCAAATAACAAACGTTTAGAAACTCCGATAGAGTAACATCTGACATAAGGCTTATTCCAAGTGGTTCATTAATTATTTTTAAACTAGTATAAAAACGCTTCNATTTGGATGAAGTGATCACTTCGTTTGTCAAAACTCTCTCGCATGCTATTATAATTGTAAATGTGTCTAAATTTAAGAATTTATATTTTATTAGCAGAATTTGTTTTAAGGAAAGTTTAAAATTTTATTAAGAAGAAAACACATTTTTTTGCCAATCTTCATGTGGTCTTATATATAACTTTTAAATTCAAACATTCATTCAAATTTTCTTAGCACAAATTAAAGAAACTACGTGCTGTATTGACATGAAAATTAATTCTATTCTCTAAATATCAAAAGAATTATCAATATTAACAATTCTTAATACACTAAAAATTTAACACAAGTATTAGTTTTTGCGCTTAAAGTAACATGACAAACGTATTCAATTGCGTGCTTCTTTTCAGAATATAAAGTGGCCAATTTAGTCTAGAAATCGTTCCGATACTTATATAGAAATTGAGGTTGAATCAGTTGCCATTCTGATGTTAAAAATAGTGGCATATCGACCAGAAATAATGTCTGACATTGTCGTCAATTAAGACAATCAAGTGAAAAAAAATGTGAATTAAAATTTCTGACTCCACATATTTTTCGCCATTACCTGAATGAAATTGGAAAGATTGCAAGTTCCTTTGCCTGCTCGGGTAAATAAAGTAGAAATTCTGCATGTAAAATAATATTTTACTTTCAAAAGCTCATTTTTCGTCATTAAAAAATATGGCCCTGCCTTAAGCTAATCGTAGCTAAAGCTAACATATTTTGAGTTCACTTAACCGCGAAGATTAATATTTTTTAATTTAGCCCTTCAATGGGCTTAGGGTTGTATGTGGATTTGTCCTCACTTCGTAAACTCTAAGTTGATTGGTAAAAAATCGTAAAATAATTTATTTTAATTCATTGAATGTTTCATTATCTGCATTAATTTAGTGATAAAATAATGAAATAATTTTTCTTCTTTAAATCGCCTATAACAATTATTTATCCTCAAACCTAATTTTGTGAGCAAAGTATAAGTGAGCTTGTTCTTTAAAAAAGATTAATAAAAATAAAGACATTAACACGAAATAAATGTAACACTTTATAATACATTCCACTCGCTGAGTGAATACAATAGCCTTACTATTTTTAAAGAATGACTCGAAATAACCAGATGTTATTTACATTTTATTCATTCTAAAATTTCTGTTTAATAAATTAATGAATAAAAATAGTCAAAATTAAATGCGTTAAACAAAATCATATTCAAGCCACAAAAGAGGCTCTTATAAAAGCGTTGTGTTTAATTTCAACAAGCAAACACATTGCTGAAATTAGAAGTAAATATATTTTCATTGACAAAACTCGTATGTTTACCGTCATTTAACAAAATTTGAAAATGATTGAATATTTAATAAAAATTGATAAATTTTAAGTTTTAACATATCATCAGTTTTTTTTCAAATTTGAGCAATGACCTTCAGTAATAATAAAATTAATGTCATAAACGATGTATGATAAAAGACTGTCATTCATTTTGATATGATTTTTTTGTTTCTCAAATTTATGTTATCCATAATTAAATTT